AGAAAGCAAGCCGCCAGGTCCAGGACTTGAACTGTAGTCGGCCACGTGGGAGTCCAGTGCCCTCAACCACCATGCCACCTGCCGGCCCCAAATCTTTCCGGTGTAAAATATTCACTAGTTCCGACACGTTCAGCATCTCGACCTCATACTTGGTTTCCTTTGCTGTGGAGTGCAAACCACGTCTCTCTGTCCTGTGTGCAGTCACCTTGAGTTCCCTCCCACCCCTCATGAACGGCACCGTGGAGAGACGCTAGGTTCTGCTAGGTTCGTCTCCAGAGTGCTGTTCTTTGGTCTTATCAATAGGATAACCTGGCTTAAACAAAACTCTAAGCTCCGTCTCCCTACTGTGGCAACAGCTAAAACCTCTGTTCGCATTTCCCGGCCTCGGCTGGGCTGCCTGGAGCCTTTTCTACGCCTACAAGCTCAGGCCTAAAACGGGATCTGGGAGAGTTGCTATCACAAGCCGGGGCCCTGGCTCTGTGGCCCTCTCCAGAGCATCCCTCGCCCATTTCCCGCCGTAGTGGCCGCCTCCAGTTTCCTATCTAGTTTTTCCCCACGTCGCGTGGCATTGATTGGGGCCTATTCTCAGGCAAAAAGCCATAGGGAAATAGAAAGTTCACCCAGCGACAGCCCCTTCGCCCAAGCATCAACTCCCTTTCCTAACCTCAGTCCCTCTCCGAGAGAGAGAGAGAGAAAGAGACAGACAGAGGAAAAGTGAAAAAGTAAGCCACCAGATCTGGGACTCGAACTATAGTCAGCCATGTGGGAATCTAGTGCCTTAACCACCATGCCACCTGCTGGCCCCTATATGTTAATCTTTTAATATTATTTGGCAGGTCACTGATTTTTTTAATTTGTTTTCTCCATATAAATATAATTTCTACTGATCTCTCTTTAAGCTCACCTATCCTCTCTTTCCAATCTGCTATGAAGCACAGCTAGAAAAATTTTAAATTCAGACGCTGTTTTTTAGTTCTAAAATTTCCATTTTATTCTTTTCCATATTTCCTATTTCTCTGTTGACAATTCTTACTAATTCATCGATTATAAGCATATCTTCTGTTACTTCCTTGAGATCAAATCTTTAAGATTTTTTAAAAGGATTACTTATTCTGTTTAACTTTACGTATTTATTTTATTTGATGAGAGAAAGAGAGAGAGAAAGTGAGAAAGCAAGCCGCCAGGTCCAGGACTTGAACTGTAGTCGGCCACGTGGGAGTCCAGTGCCCTCAACCACCATGCCACCTGCCGGCCCCAAATCTTTCCGGTGTAAAATATTCACTAGTTCCGACACGTTCAGCATCTCGACCTCATACTTGGTTTCCTTTGCTGTGGAGTGCAAACCACGTCTCTCTGTCCTGTGTGCAGTCACCTTGAGTTCCCTCCCACCCCTCATGAACGGCACCGTGGAGAGACGCTAGGTTCTGCTAGGTTCGTCTCCAGAGTGCTGTTCTTTGGTCTTATCAATAGGATAACCTGGCTTAAACAAAACTCTAAGCTCCGTCTCCCTACTGTGGCAACAGCTAAAACCTCTGTTCGCATTTCCCGGCCTCGGCTGGGCTGCCTGGAGCCTTTTCTACGCCTACAAGCTCAGGCCTAAAACGGGATCTGGGAGAGTTGCTATCACAAGCCGGGGCCCTGGCTCTGTGGCCCTCTCCAGAGCATCCCTCGCCCATTTCCCGCCGTAGTGGCCGCCTCCAGTTTCCTATCTAGTTTTTCCCCACGTCGCGTGGCATTGATTGGGGCCTATTCTCAGGCAAAAAGCCATAGGGAAATAGAAAGTTCACCCAGCGACAGCCCCTTCGCCCAAGCATCAACTCCCTTTCCTAACCTCAGTCCCTCTCCGAGCCTCGGATATCTGCGCAGTGTAGCGCCGACCACCTGTGAAGGAGAGGCGGCGTATGTGACACACGACACTCCTGCTCTACAGAAAGCGAGCGGTCCGCCACAGGTACACCGCTGCTCGCGCAGGAAGGCTCCTTCCAGTACTTGAACCCGAGTCCTGTGAGAGGCTGCCTACCTGACAAAGTGGACCGCACGGCACAAGAGAAGCCGGATCCCGCAGTGACCACGGTGTGACCCAGCCAGTCCGCCTGAACCGTACCAGAGCCACACGTGAGTGGCAGGGTCCCCGGGCGGGGGGGCAAGGGCACAGAGGTCCAGGAAGCACGGTAGGATGGGAGCCGTGGAAGCTCTCCTCTCTTCTCCCACACTCCACCGTGCATAAACAGAAATTTCAAGACAGAACAGCTCTCAATGCTAAGACTGGGCAGGACAATGGTGTATTAGCCACAAGAATCACGTTCCTGAAAGTCTGGGCCCAGGAGGAGGATATTTAAGGAAGAACGAGCAACAAATACGACACAGGGACATGGCGGTCACACACCTCGGCAGTGGGCAGCCTGCATTAGTGCAAGTGAGAAGCTGGCCCAGCCGCGACACTCCCACCTGAGGGAAACAAGGCATTGATCGCGCCTCGAGCGACAGCGGGATGGACCGGATCGGAACGAGGTTTCCTCTAGGGACAGACGGACTGGATGCATATGCACGTGTCTCAGTAAGCACTGGCAGGCTGAGGAGCGCAGGAGACCCGGGGCACAGGGAGCCACAGAAGCAAACGTCAGCCCGCCTCCCCACCAAGGGAAAAGTGAGTCTTTGCCAAAGGCGTCACATGTACAGCCCTTGGTAAGACTGTCCCTGCCAGACACCTGCGCCAGGCTCGTGACAGGCACGCACGGGGAGCAGGTCGTTGTCCTTGCTTTCTGCACACCACACTGAACGCGTTCTGGGGACAGCTTTGCCTCCTGATGTGCGTCGGTCTACAGAGAAAGCCTGGCCCGCATGGCCTCAAGTGTGTGGTTATAGCTCCTTACAGATGAATAAACCAGAACGCTCACTTCGCCAGCTAACTAGAAAGCCCGAAGGACAGCACCCCGGCAGTCTTGGCCCCCAGCCTCGGCCGGCCCTGCATCGTGGTCACGCGCGTGCCCAGCACACTTAGGGCGTCTCCGGACACGAACTCACAGCCGTCCCGCGCAGGTCAGCCTCTCAGAGCACTGGGTGCCACCGCTACTCCCCCGCTGGCCCCTCGGTGACATGCTTAACCACGGACGTTAAGGGGAGACTCCGACTGTGACACCGCAGTGTCCCACGAGGCCATTTACTCCCCACGGAGTCACTTCTCTGAGTGGCCAGTCTTCAGTTTTTCACTGCAAGAGCAGGAAGCGCAGTTGCCCCCGTGATTAAGCAAATTCGCTCCGTGTTTTAACAGGTAGCGTGTGGCCGACTACGCAGGACAGAGGGACACGGACAGGCTGCCGGGACAGAGCGCGCTGCTGGGAGACCGGGCAACGACCCTCCCACAGTAACGGGACACAGAATCTCTTAAGGGGGACCAAGAGGGAGACCTTCTTCAGTCACCGAACTGGAATGCCCACTTCTAGTTATTCTCTCCGGCGGCTTAGCTCCTGCCTCTACATAACCACGGTACTCAGCCTCAGGATTTCATTTAGGAATTGCTGTATCTAGTCACAGTCTTGGTCGGAAACAGAGGAAGTGGTGCTGTCAGGAGATAAAAATAAACAGGCCCTCGATGCAACCTGAGGGGGTCGCACATAAAGATCCAACAACGTCAGCACGACACGTTTCCACCGATGGCCAGGATCAGTTCTGTATTTGGAATCTCCATTTCACACATATTGGCCCAGACACTTTGTAAAAGGATGAGGCATGTGTAAAAGGGAGGAGACGGTTTTAACAGCATTGGTAGGTCTTTTTAAACGATCCCCCCAAATTTGAGTCCCTCCCCACCGTAATATTCTATTAAACTATGGAAAGTTTCCGAGACTTTCAAAAGAGCCGACTTGTTATGATCTTAAAGAAGGAAAGTACATAAATCAATTAGACTCAACAAAGCTCAGGAACGCCTCTACAAAACATGGGGGCACTAGCCCAGTGGGAATGCAGGAGGCTCCGCGAGGCTGCCTTACACGGGAAGGTCCCAGGCTCACGGCTGGAGACGTCCCAGAGCGTGGCAGGATAGCAGGTGTCTGCACCCTGGGCTGAGACGGTCCCTGTGGGGGTTCCCTCTCCCCCTTCCACACGGAGGTCACAAAGACGCAAAACAGCCACGAACAATCAGGGGGGTCGGGCAGTGGCACAGCAGTAAAATGCACCAGTCCCCGAGGCAGGCCCACCTGGGAAGGCTCTGGCCTGTGTCTAGAGACCTCCCCAGTCCCACTGTACACCTGTGCCCATGACTGGGCTGGCCGAGGCTGGGGGTGAGGCTAGGCATAAAGAATTTGTTGAGGATGGTGTCTCTCTCTGTCTGAGTTCCTCAGTCATAGAAAACATAAGGAAAAAAAATAAATAAATCTTTCAGGCCAGCAGGTGGCGTGGTATTTAGGCAGTGGACTCTCACTCAGTCAACTGCAGTTCAAATCCTGGACATGGTGGCTTGCTTTCTCACTCTCCCTCTCTCTCTCATCAAATTAAATAATAATAACATTAAATAATTCCATAAAAAGAATAAAAATTACAAAATAAACCTTTCTTTTTTATTTTCTACCACCATTAAAAAACATCACTCTGTTTTCTCGCCAAATCTAAGTTCTTGGTTAGCCCGTATTCATGCATTCTAAACGCAAAACCAAGTACCGCATGTCATGCTATTTACATGAATAAATTCTCTAGCTGGTTTTTTCAGCTAACACGGAATGCCTTCTCTAAATGGTTAAAATCAGAGTTCACTAAAATACAGTATTTTAAAAGTCCATGAAGGCTGGAAATGACTACAGCTGGTTTTCTGAACAGAGACTTTGCGGAGTGAGATGTTCCACTTGCTACTTCGTATTTTCAAAAGCATAAACATGCCCTAGATAAACTGGGCAGAGTTTCCCTCATACTTTTCCATCCTACACAGTTTATCTTTTATCCCCTCTCAGAGGAGTTGGTAGACGAGAAACCAAGGGCCCTCTCCTCCCCCGGGTCCCCGCACTCACCTACAAAACGGGCTGGAGATGGTGGGGATCACGTAACAGACACCCCCGTTCAGGCAGAAGGACCTGTGACTGGGACCGCAGGGCTCCTCATGATCTGGAACACACGTGAAACAGAGGGCAGTGAATGTTCTAGTACAACGAGAAACGGGCGTCGCTCTCTGAGAATAAAGTAGAAATTTTAAACATTGGAATGAGGGATTTTTTCCCCCCTCAAACTGAAAGACTAATTTAATTGTAGTTCTTATTTGATGGACACGGACTAATAGCCCTTTGAGGGAAAAAGTAACCTAGCCTAAGGATCTAGCCATCAATTATAACGGATTTAGAAGCTATCGGAGAAATCAGGAATCCCTGCGTCGGTCAGATGACAAGGAGGCGGTTAGCATCCTAGCCTGCGGTGCTATTTTGAGCTGTCCTGTCATGAGAGCGCAGTTAAACTCTTTTTTTTTTTTTTTCAAAAGGATTATTTATTTTATTTATTCATTTGTTTATTTTAATTTGACCAGAGAAAGATAGACACACACAGAGAAGGAAAGTGAGAAGCAAGCCACCAGGTCCGGGATTCAAACCGTGGTCAGCCATATTGGGGTGTCCAGTGCCTTAACCACCATGTCACCTGCTGGCCTGGACCTTAAAGTGCTTATGTGCTTCTACTAGGCTTGAAATGTTAAAATCTGAAGTTGTAGTGGGAAAAAGATTTAGAGAATTAAAATATAGTTATCTTTAAATTTGCCTGTATGTGACAATCTTCACATCAAAATCCAAAACCAACCATCTGAAGAGGTTTTAACATGTGAGGGGATTTCAGGCAGTAGCTAGTAACTGTAACAACATGCTTAATTCTAAAGTAAAATGAAAGACCCAAGTCATTAATTGGGATACGGCCCAAACTTCCGGAGTATTAAGATAAACCTCCATTTCTGCGTCCCCTCTCCTCCTCTTTCTCGAACTTCCTTCTTTACCCTTTGACCTTTCCTTCATCTTTCTTTCTCTCTGCCTTCTCTTCCTCCTGTGGTTCCTCTCTGTCCTTCCAACCTCACTCCCACCATGCGCCTTTAAAAACAAAGGAAAAAGGGACCAGCAGTTGGCGTAATGGCTGTGTCGCTGGACTCCCACGTAGTCGACTGCGGTTTGAGTCCTGGACCCGGTGGCTTAAACTCACGCCGGGCGCCAGTGCGTGCGTGCCCAAGATCCCGAGAGGAGAATGGAGGAGAAGGGACTGCAGCATGGCCATCCTCCCTGGGGGGTGATTTCTCGCTTTCTGTCTCTCTCTGTCTGTTTGGCGAGCACACGCACCCTATAGCAAAAACCTCCCCCCCAAACAAAAACAAAAACAAAACAAAGGGAAAAATCCCTTTCTTTTCACTCCTGGTCACGAGCACCATTTTATAGAAAAAAATGAGAAACAACAATAGAATTCACCGAGTCATGGCACTAGTATTTATGACTCGAAGAGGAAAGGGCTGAATACTTAAATCTTATTACTACTTCTCCGAATCTGGAGGGGGAATGATGTTGCTTTACGTTGTACACCGTAAGCTCCCAGGAAATGACCTCTCCCGGCTAACGTGAGGAGGAAGGTGGCGGTACCCCGCTGGGCCTCCAGCTCCACATTAGGAAACCAACGGTGTACTAACTTCGGACACTGCCCAGCGTTTGTCTGCCGTGAAGACACCGACAGCGTCGGGCCCGGCCGTGCGGGCGCCAGGGCACAGCGGAGCTGCTGCGGGAGACTAGAGCCACGAGGGAAGGCCCAGGTCTAGATCCCAGGCCGACCTGGACACGCCAGGGTGCGGCGGGTGCGCCCAGGACCCTGGCCAGCTGAAGACTGGGGTGTGACCTCAGGGAGCTGCGACCCTTTTGGGGGAAGCCCCCCTTTCCTTCCTCTCTGAAGGCGATAAATGAGTAAATAAAGCGGTCAGTACCTGCTGGGCTATCACTGCCATGAGCCTATGTCTCCAAATCAGAAATCCAAACGGTTCAACTTCCTTTTTGTTTTAGAACTGAGAAAACGCTATTTCAGCATCTCATTCTAACTGCGAATGTATGAAAGTGTCAACACGAGAACACAATTGCAAAGAATTTGAATGGTAAAAATAAAAGTAAACCAACAAAACTAATTATTTCAGAATTTTTTTTTTTTTACAGAATGCCACGCTTCTTTATGATCAAACAACTTTTAATAAGATTATATAAATTTTGCTAACAAAGAGAAGGAATAATCTGGCTGATGGGTGAAGTCCAAATTCAAATGACATCACATCAGGATCCTAGGCGCCTTCACGTTCCACTTTCCAGGGAAGGTGAAATACAACTTTAGCAAAGCTGAAAACAATGTTCTTGCTTTTAAACAAATTATAACCAGACATATCTAAGAACTTGGCATTTCCTCAATAGAGAAAACTCATATGGGGACCAGCAGGTGGTGTGGTGGTTAAGGCACGGGACACTCCCACATGGCTGACCACGGTTCAAGTCCTGGACCTGGCGGCTTGCTTTCTCACTTTCCCTCTTTCTCTTTCTATGTTTCTCTCTGGTCAAACTAAAAATAAATGAATGAATAAACAGAATAAAATAAATAATTTTTAAAAAGAGAAAACTCATATAACCTGAATTACTATCTCTGAGTATTTTTTGGACCCTGATTTGTTATTATTGGTTATTAATCATTGTAACTTATTAGAGAAATTGATATCAGATATAGAGTAAGCTAGAATCTGTCTGTTCCTAAAATCTAATAAAATATATAAATATAGGGACCAGCAGTTAGCGTAATGGCTATATCACTGGACTCCCATGTAGTCAACCATGGTTCGAGTCCCAGACCTGGTGGCTTAAACTCACGTCAGGTGCGTGTGTGTGCGTGCCCAAGATCCCGAGAGGAGAATGGAGGAGAAGGTATTGTGGCGTGGCCATCCCCCCGGAGGGGTGATTTCTCACTTTCTGTCTCTCTGTCTCTCTCTTTCTGGCGAGTGCACACACCCTATAGCAAAAACCTCTCAAAAAAAAATATATATATATATATCTAAAATAAAGTAGCTTCATGGCATAAAAGGAAGAGTTTAAACCAAATAGTTTATATTTTTGAAATTATTTTAGATGAGAAAAAATACAGCCTGGTTTTAATAAACATTTTGTTGTTCTACTGCTATGTGAAACACATCGACAAAAGTATAAACTTACAAGAAATTACCTGTTGGCATCTTAATTTTTAAACAGTTTCATTCTTGTTCAAAAGATTAGGGTTGAAAACAGCACCTAAAATAGTTTAAAATTATTCATTTAGAAAAAAAATTCTTCTGTTAAGGGCATTATAAAAGGTCAAATATTCTAATAGCGCTGCTCCTAAACACTGAAAATAGACAGTTATATACCAGTGGCAGAATTACTTAGTTACAGCACCTATTTTTAAAGATCTTTATTACATGCCAAAAAACCCAAGGAGGTAAAACTAAACATCAACATTTGATGGCCCTAATTATAAATCGCTGCCTAAGTAATGTAATTTAACCTTCCATGTCACCTGCACAAGTCTAAGCAGTTTTATCTTTAATAAGCATTAATAATGGCGTCGCACAACGCGAGGTTTTACATGAGAGCTACGAGGCAGCAAATGAAACTGAATGCATGACCTGAACTGACTTCTCGCTTTCTCGTAAGCCTATTCATAATCTGACTTTCGATGGTCAAACACGTATAGGAGAATCTTCAACGGCATTTCACCTTTTTGCATTTCTGCAGAAACTCTGGGCCTTTTAGAGAGGCACTTGTAAGTCTAGCACACCGACACCTGCTCTTCTTTTAAGAAGTGCGTGACCACTGCTAGAGCGAAGTAGCTAATGGACCGTCTGTAGGTGCAGGCGTCTGCTGGATACAGACACGGACAACGAAACACACAACCGAAGCGATGAAGCAGTTATACTTACATCATGACGACATGTTCTCTGCTCCACCCTAGAAAGGCAACCGACTCCTGAGTGACGCAGAGACTGTAACAGAAATCACCTCCACCTACCAAGCTCCTATGAGCGCAAGAGTAATCCCATCAAGGTGTCCTTCCCATCAGTCACTCTTACACAGACAAGCCACAGGAGAGACACGCATGGAACGTTAAACCTATTTGATTTGAAATGATCGCTGGATCATTCTTTCTTTTCTGCAAACAAATAGGGCCAAAAATACATCTGCTTGGACAGGCAGTGTTCCTAAAGTTTCTGAATACTGTGGACCACAGTAGCTGTGACTTGCATTTTATAAGATGTCAAAAATCGGATTCATGCGGCTGTGGCGTGGGCGAGGTTGAACGGAGCAAGGTGTGCAGAGGTCAGGCGCCAGCCCAGAGAGCCGGCCCCGCAGTCTACGTGTTCAGAGTTGCAAAGGGAGCAGAATTTGATTTGGAAAAGGATGTGTACTAAGCTGTGTCCACGTTTTCGAGGTATGAAGTAAACCTTGTTCTTTAGACTCCAGACTTACCTTGGCCTGTCTGAATAATTCAAGAATATTATGTAAGTTTGTGGAGGGAAGACATTTTAAAATGGTACTAATGGACAAGTGTTTCCCATGGAATATTATTTTTTTAATAAAATAATTTCCTTATGAACCATGTAAACTTTATATAAATAACTTGAAGAACTTATATAAATCGAAAGGTCAGCCCCATAATAGAATGTACAGCACCATTGTTCAATGTGAAATTAACGTAATCATGGAGCCACTGGACAACTATGACAAAGTTACTATATATTCAGGACCAGCAGTTAGCGTAATGGCTATGTTGCTGGACTCCCATGTAGTTGACCGCGGTTCGAGTCCTGGGCCTGGCGGCTTAAACTCACGCCAGGCGCATGTGCATGTGTGTCCAAGATCCCAAGAGGAGAATGGAGGAAAAGGGATTGCGGTGTGGCCATCCCCCCTGGGGGGAGATTTCTCGCTTTCTGTGTCTCTGTTTCTGTCTTTCTGGCGAGCGTACGCGCCCTATAGCAAAAACCTCTCCAAAAAAAGAAAAAAAAAAAGCTACTATATATGTACGAGGAAAGTTGTTAACATCATCAATCAGTTAAAAATATTGCCTAAAAGTAAAGCTTGTCTTCGATGAAGCACCAGGTTCTACCTCATGTAACTACCTAAAGTATGACAAGTATTTAGATGATTATCAGTTTAGACACCTTCCTTCTTGATGGATGTAAAACACAGAAACTTACACATTTGTTTTGTTCTTTTAAGAAAATGTCAAATTCCTAAAATCACATACTCTAAAAACAATTCTCTTTACCATCACCTATTATCTTCCACATTGAAAGGCAATTTTTACATAGTAACAATCAGGACATGTGTACACACAGATCCATACATGTAAATCATTTTAAGCTTTTAGTGCTCACGTTTAATAATGTTTGTAATTAAAGATTAGTACCCATGACTATTTTATGTGAATTATGAAACTATGATGCTACCGGTTAATATGAAAATGACTATTAAATTGTATGTGGGAGGTTGTCTCTGACATTACCACGATGATTTATTAAGAAATACAGTACATCAGTTTCGTATTTATTTTTTGCACAATTCAAATAAAAAAAAAAAAAAAACCTTTTGGAGCCATCGGATTTGTCCCCTCTGCATCTATATTTTGTCATATTTCCCTAAAAAACAGCAACAACGAATGACCCTCCTGCCTCGGCCTGCCAGCTAGATTATAGCTCCACGACACCACACCTGGCTCTTCTTTTTTTTTTAAGACAGGGTTTCTAGGTTGCCTGGGCCATCTCTGAGCTCATGATCCTCCTGCCTCAGCCCTCCTCAAGTTGCTGGTATTCCAGGTGCATGCCGTCATGCCAGCTTTTATATGGGATCAGGAATCGAACCTGAGCCTCTCATGCGGTCCCGACATACGGTGCACAGTGTGCACCACCGTGGCTGGGCCGTAGTGATTATACTTTTTATGTGTAAAGAGCTCTTTACTCTTCATTTTATATAGCTGTTCTTGTTTTAGGAATGTGACTGCTCCTCACATCCTCACAATATATTAGTTAGAAGATGTCTCTAGGTTTTGTTTGGTCCCCTGCATTCTGTTGCTTTCTTCTAGGACTAGTTTGTCTTTATCTTGGTCTTCTCTGTTATGTTGCTTTTCCTCAAACATCAGCTAAGCCTTGGTGGTCTATTCAGATTTCTTGGTTGTATATTCTCGATTATTCTAGGTAAGAGGTGTGGATCGTTGTGATGTTCTGTGAGCAGATCTCTGTCCTAACAGAAACCGTGCTCTGGTGGAAAGCAGGGCCGTGTTCTCTGCACCTGGGCAGAACATCTGCTAGGCAGGCTTCCTTTCAGGAGCAGCTGGTAAGGGGCTATCAGCTCGCCAACTGCAGAGCTGTCAGGTGGCGGAACGAGGAGACCCTTCCTCTTGAGAAGGGTATAAGCAAGTTACAGACCATAGGCCAGATTGTTTTTGTGGGATCCTTGAGCTAAGAATGCTTTCTACATTTTTTAAATGTTTATTTATTATTACTATTATTTTAAAATTTTATAGAAGGCACATGCACTCACCAGAGAGAGTGGGAGAGAGGAAGGAAAGTGAGAAAGCAAGCCAACAGGGCCTGCACTCAAACTGCAGTTGGCCATGTGGGAGTCCAGCACCGTAACCATTACACTACCTGCAGGCCCCCGGTTTGTTTGTTTGTTTGTTTGTTTACATTTTTCAAAAGCTGTAAAGAGTAAATATTTAAAAAAAGGAAAAACAAAACAAAACAAAACACAGAGGACACCGAACACTGAACTCACTGGCTACTTGATACTGAGCTTTCAAGTTGCTAGAACTGTGAGAGAGGAACTTCTACTGCTTACAAATTACCCAGGCTTGGGCCAGCAGGTGGCATGGAGGTTGAGGAGGCTGGATCACGCATGGTCAACCCAGCGGTTCAAGTCCCAGACCCAGTGTCTTGAAACACACGCCAGCTGGAGGTGTGTGCATACCCAGAATCCCAGGAGGAGGATGAAGAAGACTGCCATGTGGCCACACCCTTGCAGGAGTGATTTCTCACTTTGCCCCTCCCGTTCTGTCTCTCTCAGGCAAGCACATGTGTGCCATAGTAAAACTAAAAACAAACATAAATTACCAGTGTGTGGTATTTTGTTTAGCAGCCCAGAGTGACTAAGACATAAATCCTAACTTCATGTGGCCTAAACCATAAGAGGTTTAGGACCCAGCCCCCTTATGATATGGGATTGTATGGGTCAACAACATGAGTTTCAGCTACCAACCGGCCCAGTCAAACTATTCCTGAAGCAGGGCGGGGGGGGGAGGAAGCCTTGGGGCCAGCAGGTGGTATGGATGTGAAGGCCCTGGACTCCCACATGGCCAACCGCAGTTTGAGTCCTGGACCCGGTGGCTTGAAACTCATGCTATGTGCAGGTGTGCGCAAAATCCCCAAGAGAGAGTGGAGGAGAGTCATCCCAGCCCGGGTCGATTTCTCACTCCTCCCCCACCCCCTCTCTAGTGAGCGCACTTGCCCAACAGCAAAAACCTTAAAGAGAAAAAAGAAAAAGGAAGCCTTGTCTGACCAGGTGGAAAAGCTTATTATGAAGCAATTACAAGGTGAGCAGTATGGATTTGGCACAGGGTTAGACAAACAGGCTGACCGAGCAGAACCAAACACCCAGAAACAAACACCTGCGTGTGTAACAACGGCAGTGTGGAGCCATGGGGGAAGACAGTGTTTTCCAAGAACCAGCGCCGTGAGCCAGCCTGAACCTGGCAACGTCCAGGCCCTGGCTGCAAGGGTGCCGGTAGCAGCTGGCATCAGCCTGACCCTAGTCTGTGGTTTTGGCAATATATTCTTTGAGATGTTTTTTGCCATAGGGTACAGGTACTCTCCAGAGAGAGAGAGACAGAGACAGTGAGAGGGAAAATGAGAAGTCACGCCCCAGGGGGGATGGCCATGCTACAATCGCTTCTCCTCCATTCTCCTCTCGGGATCTTGGGCATGCACGCACAAGCGCCCGGTGTGAGTTTTAAGCCACCGGGTCCAGGATGCGAACCGTGGTCAACAACGTGGGAGTCCAGCGACATAGCCATTACGCTAACTGCTGGTCCCTGGCAATATATTCTTGACATAAGCTCCTGTACTAGTCAATAGCTTCGACCTTGGCAACGAAAGCAGCTTCCTTAGCAGTTTACTTGAATTAAATTTAGATTTACGAAAAGTTGCAAAATTAGTACAGAGTCTCTTTTATCACTCAAGTTGTCTTCCACAGAATTACCG